CTGTAGAATTTTTTCACATAGCAAAGCCCAAAGGAATGGGACTAGGGCAGGAAAGTTTGTATGAGGGCCAAGAAGGTCCCTTAAATTTTTATAATTTGATGTTTACATAAGGAAAGATAATGGGATAAATAGGGGACCTGAGCAATCAGGAGGCAATATGGTGGTGACTCTGTGGGACTGAATGGCATTAAAAAGAGAGAGAAAAAGTCTCAAGTGCACCACCTTCAGAGCAATGAAGGAGTCACAGGTCAATGGAACTGGGAAATCTATGGTCCCAGCACTACACAGCCTTTGTCTGATTCCCCAGCCTTGAGACTCTAGTTGCATTATCAAAACATCAACCCAAGAGCTATTGTCTTCTTTTGTTAAACCAACAATCCTCTGAGAGTTTAATCCTCTCAGAAATTCTCTGAGAGTTTAATTCTTAAGAAAAAAATAAATAACAATGGCTTATTTAACTGATGATATTTTTCATGTCTTTTTCCAACAGCAGTTACCTGTGTATTCCTCCAGGTGGTTATACACCGTTTGACAATAATCAGTGTAGGTCTAACCAGTTGGGCATATTAGACAAGGGAATGCACTACACAAATCTTCACAGATTTGCAGGATGGGGAGGGTACATGTGTAAACAGTGAATAAAGCCCCTAAGGATCTTCTCTTTATCACTGAAGACCAGCAAAACTCAATGGCCCTGTGATTGAAGCCATTCCTCTTTTTCTCACTTAAGCTTTAAGGAATCCAAATATCAGTGGCTTGCTGAAGTGGAAGCTTAAAATTTTCACAAATCCCAGGTATAACATTCATTAAAAATGAGTGGGTTTTCCCAGTACATGGCAATGCAGCCATGGCAAGTGAAAATGTTATATAAAGTAGCATACATGTGCCAATTATGACATGAGAACATGCTTATGTTGATGGTAAAGTCAGAGGAAAACTGAAAGCAGTGCAGTAATTGACCTCTCATTAAGTAGCTCTGGCTCTTTAAACTTGAAAATTTATTTTCTTGGCAAATATTAAGTCTTTCCACAAATGTACATTTAAGATGAATTTCTGAGAATATAAATGCTCAAGAGGAATAAGCAGGAGTTGATGTAGGTGATCTTAATTTGCATTTTTCATGTCTGAAATACCTTGGGAATAATGTTTCGTGAGTAAGGCTTTTAGTGTCTAATGTAATCTGACTTAATTTAATCATTCACTTTTTGCTAAGATCTATCAAACATTTGCTATCAAGAGCTGTTACTCTTCATTTTTATCTACCAAATTTGCTAAGAAAGAAAAAAATATGTTGAGGCTATCATTGGACTACTCAAATCGCTTCTATTATCTATTATTATTATTTTTTTTAGTATTGTCAACCTTTTACCTCAATTTATTTTTTTTAATTGTTTTTACATTTAGTCACATGTGTATACATTGTTTGGGCCAACTCCTTCCCCTGGCCCCACTTCACTACTCTTAAAGTTGGGACAATCCTTTTAGAAAGGGACACAAGGTGGTCCATCCTTTACAGTTAGGAACAGTAAAACCTCACCACAACACTGTAAATGAAGTCTTAAACATTCAAACAGGAAAACACATAGCTTTGCATTATTTTGAAGTTAATCAAATTGCTAGGCTAAACCTATGCAGCTGGTCTGCCCAGGCCTTCCAGGGCTACATCTGTGAAATGCAAATTCACCCTGGACTCAGCTGTGATTCAGTACCTGCCACTGTCCTCTGCAGCTTAAATCCTACCGGGGTAATTCCAGGGCTGACTGGGGCTCCCCAGAGAGTGGCAAGCATTCCAGAAATGTCCTAGGTAAGTGAGACTCAGAGAGAATGAGCTGGAAGAACACTGAGGGCATAGAGATCCAATTCCAAAAGCAGTTTCCTGCCATCTCCCCACCTGTCTAGTTCCCCCATTAAAGATAAAAACCTCATCCTCACCTAATTGAGAATATGGGCCATATAGAATATAGAACCCATTTCCAGTGGTGGTGTATTCAAATCATGGAGTCTTACTGAATTTGTAGAGTCATACATAGAAGACAGATCTAATTCATAGAGCAAAGCCCTTTCCCTACTTTGCTGGCACTGCTAGAACCCCACTATTGGACATGTCCTCCAATGGCAGCAGAACTCTTGTCTAACTCCTTCCTATAAAAAAGAAAGCAGCCCCATCCAGAACTAGAAACCTAGGTCCTTGCTCAGTTTCCAGGTCTGCAGTCAACATGACACAGATGACAGAGAGAAAAGGTGAGAGAATCATGTGGAGAAGGAATGTATCCCTTTCCTGACTTTTAATGCGTTTTACAGGTTACTGACTGGCTTAACACAGCTCATCAATTCTGCCTACATCTCACACGCCACTTGCTTACTCACTATCTCTGCTTAACACAGCTTAGGAGTTTCATCCATTCTATTTGTTTTTCTTGTCTTCTCTAGCAGAATTGAATATTCTCAAATCCTATAGCAAACACACATTATAAGCAGAAAGATGTAGGGGGAAATTAGATAAAAGGCAGAGAAAAGTTTTGCTTCATAATGGCAGGAGAAATAGAAACCAAAATAGAGAGTCAAAGGAAGAGTAGAGTTCTGAGCACAAAGTGGTAGGTGCCAATAACTGAAGCACCATGGTCCTCTGAGATCTTCTGGAAGCCTCCTTTCAATGAGTCTGTCTTTGTTTCTTTGAATGGGATAAGTCCTAATTAGTGCACCAGTACCCACAGTGTTAGATGTCACAGTTGGGATAAGAATGCGGATGGGGATCTTAAGTTTGGCACATAGAAGGAAGAGCAGAGGAAGCTCAGAGACCCATGGAAAATATTCAGATCATTATGGGTAGGTTTTGGGTTTGACACGTGTTTGTTGTATGGCTTATTTTGACAAGTAAATCAACATCTTAGAGGCATTCATCTCTTAGTACCTCCAAATAACAAAAACTACAAGCAAGTTGTTCAAATCAGGTCATATGTTAGTTTCCCAGGGCTCTGCAGTCTTGGTGGCTTGAAACAACAGAAACAAACTGTCTCAAAGTTCGGGAGGCTACATATCAAAAGTTAAGATGTCAGCAGTGTGGGTTCTTCCTCAGCAGTCTGAGAGATATCTAGTCCTTGTCTCTCTTTTAGCTCCTGATGATGGCTAGAATCCTTAGTATCTCTGCCTCTCTCTTACCACATGGTAGAGACTCTCTTTGTCTTTTTCTGTGTCTCTTTCTCTTCTTTTCATAAGGACCAGCCTTATTGGATAATGGTCCATTCTATTCCAGTGTGACCTCATCTTAACTAATTGTATCTGCAATGACCCTATTGACAATTAAGGTCACAAATCTGAGATACTGCTGGTTAAGATTTCAACATATCTTTTGGGGTGGGGGACATAACTCAACCCATAATGGTACAAAATTGAGAAATATAAATTTGTATTTTGAATTCTTATTCTCTCACACTCTATTAATAGAAAAATTCCTTGAGTTCTTCCAGGTATAAAGACTTATAGTAGATTATATACATTGCATGTGTAGTCAAAAAATGTAAACAGTGGCTATCTCATAATGATTGTCTTTTGGGGAAAGATGACAAGGAACTTTTACTTCTGTATTGTCTATCTCTATAATGTTTGAATTTTTATAACAGACATGTACTATTTTGTATTCAGAAAGCACAATAAAGACACATTTTCAAGAGGCTAATGAGAAGGAAGTATTGCTTTTCCCTTTCCCCAGAGTCAGACTTTCTGTAGGAAACAGGGTGAGAAATATCCTGGTGAGGAAGAAAGCAGGAAGGAGGGGTCTGTGATTTGTCATAAATCGTTATCTTCAGTTTAGCTTAAATTTTAAAATAGCATTAAAGGAGAACTCAAGGTTTTCATGCTTATCCAAAGAAATCAAGGATTTTTTAATGTTGAAAAATGCAGAGGCTTCCTACAGCCACTCATTGAGGTTTCCTGTCAGCCAAGGCAAAAAGGGAATGCTGGGATTTCTAGCCAAAGTACAATTCCTGGTTAAAATACAGGGCACTCAATCAAATTTGAATTTCAGATAAACAACAAATAAAATTTTAGTGTATCTGTGTCCCAATCGTTGCATGGGATATACATATACTAAAAATTATCCCTTGTTTCCCTAAAATCCAAAATTAAGTGAGTATCCTGTATTTTCATTTACTCAATCTAGCAGCATTATTCCAAGCACACCAGTTTAGATAGACTATTTCTAGAAATGAGACCATAGGATAGATTTGTTTCAGAGGCCACTATAGAAGGAACAGTAGGAGGTCACAGCTGACCATGTTTTCCTTCTGTGATTTTGCACCACCAGGCATAGAAATGTGGTTCAAATGAACCCATTTTTGGTCAACAGTGGGTAAAGGGCTCTTGACTCACATGAAATAGCTACAGAGGGTATCAATCCTTTTCTGTCGCTAATAACACAATGCCATAGACTGGGAATGTTATAAAGAAAAGACATCTATTTTGGTTCCTGGTTCTGGAGGCCCAAGGTCAAGGGGCTGCATCTTGTGGTGGTCTTCCTGGGTCAGAGTGCTGAAGTAGTGTAGGGATGCTACATGGTGACAGTGAGCATATGTGTATATGTCCCCTTGTCTCCCTCTTACAAAGCCTCCAGGATTCGACCGTGGGGCTCTACCTGGATGAACTGGTCTAATCTAATCAGTTCCCAAAAGCCCCACCTCTAAACACCATTGTTGGGGCAGGTGGAGAAGCTCAGGTAGAGCACCTACCTAGCAAGCGTGAAGCCCTGAATTCAAACCCCAGTGCTACCAACAAACAAAAAAAGAAAAAAAGAAACATAAACACCATAGTCAAACTAAGTTTCTATTGTCTTAACACCTCATATTGGAGATTCTACTCCTGCATGGGTTTCAGAGGGGGAAAAGCATATCCAAACCACAGCAAGTCTATGAACCTCCTGAAATCACAGGTTGTTTTGAGCGTGAATGGACGTTTATCGGGAAAGAGACCCTAATTAGATTCTCAAAAGCATCTGAGAACTCAGCATGGTCAGGGTCCCCATCTTATTGGCTAAAGGCATATCTCTGAACCAAGCAGAGGTATGTTGCAGGGTGTTGGGTATTATTTCTCAGGCAATCCACTTCTGATGACCTAAACTGAAAAATGGAGAAAAATGTCAGAAATTTTAAGGATAAGCAGTTTACCCGTCTTCTGAGAAACCCCTCTCAGATGTCTGAGATGTGCCACATGTTTCATAGGGAACTTCCCCGAAGCCAGTTGTTGGGTGGTGTCGATCATTGTGAATTCTCTGGTGAAAATTAAGGTCAAGCCATTTGCTTTAATTGTCAAAAAATTTAAAGAGAGAGACAGAAAGATAGCCAAAGAATATTGCTTAAGCCATGGATAATCTTACTGCCTATAGAAAACAAGTGACCATTTTGGTAATTACTACTTTATTTTTTGTCTTTAGCACTCCTTCCTCAATCTGCCAACAGCGCTTACTGATGAGCTGGACTGGCCTCAGTTCTCTGGTGTTACTGGATTTCTGGACTCTACTAGCGGGTATGTATGTTTGCATATGCGCAGACACGTCAGTGTATCTGTGTAAGGGAAGAAACAGGAGATGGGCTTGGCTTCTAGAACATTAATGATATATAACAAAACCTGCCACTGACATCGAGTCCAGTCACCATAAAGTAAGATGTAACATGCATTGTTTTTTATCCAGGCTAGTGAGAAGAGAGTGTTTCTTCTGCTGCAGAGAGCGGAGGGAGGGCCTAACTTTTACCTCCGATAGAAAATACCCACATCGCTGAATTTTTCTGATTCCAGGGACAGGGAAGTTTTCTTGATATTTACTCTAGAAACCAGTATTTACAAAGATAATGGCTAAAATTAATTGGCAATTCTCAGGATCCTGGAATCATTCTGGTTTCCAAGCTTTGGATTTGTAAATACAGACGACACACGATGAGTCAATTTGCTGCGGGTGATTGGGTGTTCACTCAGGGTCTGGACTACGCTCCCAGGACTTACACCCAGCAGGGACACCTGCAATGCTAGGAAAACTTTGCAAGTGGCCCTCCATGGTAGAAAGCCACAGATAGGAGAGGTAGTCTATTTCATAATGTCTCTGAGTGTTTATAAATGGCAGTAATTTATAAGGAATACGGCAGTTGATGGCTTCCTTGTGTGAAAAACAAGAAAGGGTAGAGCTTTACCTTTAGATCGAATGGAAGGACAGAGCCAGCTCTCTCTGACTTAGACAGCAGCAGCAGAAAGCAGAGATCTCACCATGAGATGAGCCCTAAGAATCCCAGGGGAGGTCTGATTTACCCAAATCTGTGAAAATCAAAGAATGCCCGAGGACAGCCACTTATAGTTTTAACTTGCGTTGCCTTATTTAACAAAAGGAATTGCATGCAATGAATAATTTGACTATTATCTTTACTCATTTACTTAAAGATACTTATTAAATACTTATCACCTAATCAGGCACAGATGCAAGGCAGAAGAGACAAAATTAATGACAACACAAGCCAAAGGCAGGTTCCCACAGGGCCACAGTGTTGGGGGGATGGGAGAGAGAATCATAAAATGAAAAAAAAAAAGCCAAGCACTTTATGGAGTGCCATACAGAGATTATCTCATTTAATCTCCTTATGATGCAGGTGGTATTCTCCTCTGTATTTTGCAGTTGAGGAATATAAGTAGATTAAGAAACCAAAGTCACACAGCTAATAGGAAATCTGCTGTCACGGAACCTGGTGCTGTATTGTAACTAAGTGTAATTTGTTGGGCAAGCGCCCTTCTGCCCACAACACCCAACGTTTATGTGCTGTTTTCACCCTATATGCAGGAATGTGACCCCCCCCACCCAGTGATTGTCCCTTTGATCAAGAATACAGTTATGGGATAGGAAAATGACTGACAACCCAATTCAGTATTCATATATAAAAAACATCTGGAAGTTTTTCTCAATGGAGGCTTATATGACAAAAACAGAAAGAATTAATTATGAACGAGAAGAACATGGTTTTGTGTTCTTTTAATTTTCTTCTAAATTTATATGAATCTTACAAATTTCAACACCATTTGACCTTATGAAGTTGCCATAAAGGAAATGCCACTCTGCAATACTACTCATTAAGTAATTTACATCTTTCCTGGAGTCGCTCAAAGAATGCAAAAGGAATCTACTCACCATGCCTAGTCAAGCTAGTGAAAACTTACTTCCTGTTCTCTGTCCATGTACAGCTCACAGTTGCCCTGGCTCTTCTCAATCTAATTTTCCAATGAACTCTACCCAAACTTAGCTCCCATACATAAGCAGAATCTGCTCAGTAGGTTTTAGTTTTTGTTGATGAGAAGCAGGGACAGCCAGCTTCTCTCCATCTGCATCTGCTCTAGGTTGACTTGAGGGTTTATTCTTTCTCGTTCTCCAGTCCTGCTCAGTTTCCACCCACCATCCCCATCAGAACCCCTGGACCTTCTTTAGCAATGTGGCAGTGGGATGGGGTGGGGAACCAGGGAAAGGAAAAGTTGGGAGTTTTCAGGCACAAATGTTTGTAACTCTTATAAATGTCACCTAGAGAAATTCTGACACTGTCTTAGTCCACATTCTGTGGCTATGACAGAATACTATAGGTTATATAATTTTTTAAAAGATTTTTCTAAAAAGAAATCTATTTCTCACATTTTTGGAAGCTGGGAAGTCCAATATCAAGGTGCTGATGAGGTCCTTCTTGCAGGAGTGTCACATGTCTAGAGTGAGGTCTCTCTTCCTCTTCTTATAAAGCAACTAATTCCATAAAAGAGGCCCCACCCTCATGACCGCAGCTAACCCTAGTCACCACCAAAATCTCCACTCCAAATGCCATCAACATATGAATTTGACGATTAAGTTTCTAACAGATGAATGTAGGAGACACATTCCATAGCACCATCTTACACTGGAAATGGTCACATAGGCATGGATTCTGTGAAAACCATCTCTGTTTTGGGCTAGTTTTAGCACCTTTTTGTACTAAGTTCTGCATTGCTATTTAGATGACCCATGGTCTGCTTACACAACTCGCCCAGTGTTGACTCTAAGTACTGCTTTAGCTGTCCTGTTTCTAAGGAGGTGCTGACTACGGCTGGTTATTCCCCTACCTGCAACTTTTCTGTTTTGTGACGCCCCACACTATCATTTTGCCAGCTGTTTCTGTATACTGTGCCTTTGTTGTCTGGCACTCTGCTGGAATGGAGAAGAGTGTATCAAACTCCCTTTGATAGAAAATGAAATTCTCTGTTTGGAATCTGAATTGTAATGGATTCCCCCATTGAGCAGAATCATGATGAGAGATTTGTGTGGGACTGAAAGCCTCTACTCAACCTTGCTGGCTTAAAGTGTTTAGCCAAAGGGAAGGTTGGCATTCCAGGTTCTTGTCTCACAAAGTAAAAAGAATGATCTTCATAGGCAACAAGAGTGAGTAAACTGGGAGAGTTTATTGAGATAGAAAAGTAGCAGAGCACAGCTCCCAGAGTGAGAAGGGTCCCAAAAGAGGGTGTCTGAGGGTTTCATCCATTTTCTCCAGGGCGTTGCTCAATCTCCTTGCTAATTAGTTATGCAGAAAGCGGCATTCTGTTTGCAATGTTCTGATTGTTCATGTCTTAGTCCTCGCAGTGTTTTCATTGTGTTCTGCACTGCTTTTCCCTCTGTCTAAGGTTACCAGGACGTCATAATGGAGGTTCCCAAGGAAACTTCTGTCCTAGCTATACTGTCTACTTTTAAGCTATCTGCCTAGCCTACTTGCTCAATGATACTCCCTACCACACTTCGGTATGTCCCTCACAGTTACTATTAAACCATTTCATAAACATTGTGTAAATTATACCTGCAGATTACTTATCCAAAGTAATCAAATTAAAAGGCATGTAAAATATCAAAGAGATTAGCATATGATAAGGTCCTCTCCTGGTAAAATCAGGAAAATGACAAAAATATGAAGAGGCTGAGAACGTAGCTCACTTACCTCGTGTGTGTGAGGCCCTGGGTTTGATACCCAGCACCACAAAAGGAAAAATGACCCAGAAATGTACTTGTGAGAGATATTCACAACTTCCAGACATTTTAAACACCAATCCTTTGAGTCCAGATGCCTCAAGAAAAATGATGGATGGAATTCTCTGTACAGCTGGATCTCTGGAATATGCTTTCTATGTTCTGTGATCAGCCTCATGGCACAGGTATAAACAATTTTCTTTGGAAAATGAACATGAAAGCACAGAGATGTAGTTCGGAAGAGGTCATTTTCCTCCTTTCTTTCGTCATACTCCTCACCCTCCCAAATACAAATCTCCTTTGTGAGATGAAGATAACTCTAACAGAAATCATGTGCACACATTGAAAGACAAACAGGACCTCTTGCTTTTACAAATCTGTAATTCCTTCAATTGAGTCCACATTAACAAAATCTGTTCTCTTCACTCTTGAGCTTCAGAAAATTCCTCTAAATAATGATCCTTAAAGCAATGTGTTTTTCTCCAGTGAGATTCAGGACAGAATTGAATAGGTCAAAAGCATGAAAACAAAAACAAAAATTAGTGATTGTGAGCTTCACAATGAGGAGGAGAACTATAACCGTAAATGGTAAGAAACATTAAAATCACTTTCCAAAGCAATCCATGTAACTTACAAGTTACAGTAGCCAAAGTCCAGTAACAGTGGTAGGAAGGATGTTCAACCATACCAAAACTTCAAGAAGGGACTTCTCAGCTGAAAGCAGTATCCAAAATTCCAGAGCCCCCATGGTGGAATAGAAGGAAGTCTATATTTACACTTAGGACGCTGGTTCTGTGTGATCTTAGGTGCAGCATCTAGCAAACTTGACCTCATTTATCTGATGGAGTTGAGATAGAACAGGTGATCTCTGAAGTTTTCTCCAACATTTGAGGTTAGTGGTTACAGCACTTCACGGTCCTACTTCATGTTACTTTATGATTAGCTGCGTTGGAGGAAATTGTTGAGGATCGATGCTCCTGCTTTGCCTCACCAAACATGCCTTCCCACACCCCTGAACCAGCTTGTCTTTTGAGACAAGCCATGGCTAATTTTATGGGTCAGAGCCTGTGACACTCTCAGAACCATGTTTGGCTAAGGCAGGGTTAGTGTGCAGAAAAGGGCAGGCTCACACACAGTAAGCTCTAGATTGTGTGATATCTGGTGCCTGGATGCTATTCAGTAAAAACGTTCTTTCTTCATCATCATTATTGTCATTATTATTGTGTGTTGTCCATCATGTATACATTTTTCTCCATAGGAAATCCCAGACAGGAAACTGGTAAACCAAAATCCTTAACAAAAATAACCACCTGAACCATCAATGGCTGTCTAAATTCCCTTTTTCAGAAGGTAGGGCCTGAAGTCAGTCCAGTCAGTGGACTTCTGAAGGCCATGGTTAAATGACAGGCAGATTCTTCAAAGCTGGAAGAGGGGGTAGACAGTGGAAGAGGGGAATAGGGAAGCAGTCAGAGCTTTAAAAAAGAAAAAAGAAAAAAACTGAAATCAGCCATAAAAA